TGTAATTGTAGGGGTCCTGAGCCAAAAAAGGAGCTGTGAGGGGGTCGCAAGGTTATTGTAGGGGGGCTGCAGTACTGGTACCCTTACTTCTTCCCTGCTGCTGGAGAGCAGCGGCTGCTGGCTGGTAGCCCAGCTCTGAAGGCAGCGCAGAAGTAAGAGTGGCAATACTATGACCCCCTGCGACTCCCTTTTGGGTTAGGACCCCCAATTTGAGAAACACTGGCTTCCCTTGTGAAATCTGTATAGTATAGGGTAAAAGCACACAAGACCAGATTTCATGGTCCATTATGCCTTGAATTTGGTAGGGCCCTAATCATAGTCCATGCTTTAATCTAGTCTGACCTCCCTACATTTTGTTCAGTTCTCTGCAGCATTCCTACAAATGACCAAAGAGTTCTTGACTATATCGGAGCAATAGCGCCTCAAGCACCATTCTTCCATTGCCCAAATGCTTCCATTAAAGAACACTTTTCTAATATCTACCCTAATTTTTTCCTTCAAGATATCAGTTCTTCCATCACTTCCACAAATTATTAAATAAATATCTAAATAATTCCCATTCGTATATCTATCTTGAAGGCATTTATAGACAACAGGAGTATGTTGGATTCTCTATTCTACAGAAGCGTAGCTCCCTCAGACTCTCTTCAGGTCTTAGCCTCCACTTCTTGGATCACTTTTATTGCCCTCGTTTGTAATTCTTCTATCATATTTGAACTGTGAAGTTCAGAACCTCACACAGAATGTGAAGCGAGAGGTACATAAGGCTATACAACTACCTCACCTGTTCTACAGGTGATCCCTTTATGTAGGCATAAACAACACACACTGATTATATTTGCCATGGCATCAGAGCTGCAATTTCATATTTGGTTTTCCAACTACCATCATCCCTAGGGCTCTCAGACTCTCTGAATAACAAAGTTGCCACTGCTAAGCAGTTCCCAAGACGCTATGTCATGGTAGCATGAAGTTACAGTAGATGTCAGCTAAAGGATTATAGTTAGCACTCTTGGGTTTACTGACCTTAATTTGTAACTACTTAACATTCCAGCTTATAAATATTTGACTCTTATGAGACTTCTAGACAAGATAAGAAGACTCTTGCCTGCCAAGATAACTCAGTTGTATAGAAGGGTGCCTAGCATTTGTACACACTCTTCAAGAGAACTAGTATATTCAGTTTACTAGGATCTGTTTACAGAGGGTAAATTGCAGTTGGCTCTTTACCAGAAGACAACACATGCTAACGTAAGTTACTATGCAATTACCATTGTTTCAAGTTGAGTTACTATGTCATTACTGCAGAATAACCTACAGTCAAGTATACAATTAATCCATGTCACCAGTGAAGATAATCCACAAAACATTAAAGCTATTTAAGATAGTGTTTGAAAAAATTGCTAGACACCCAACAGCCAGAGAACAAAGCCTGCCAGTCAGGGCAAATAAAGATGAAGGAGACCGAAAGATAAGAGGCAACCCCTTAATGAGAAACCCAGCTGCATGGAAGAAGGCAGGTTTTGGGATTCCTAGCAGGGTTGCTACAGGGCTCCTTTGTATCCACTGGCTAGTAAGCCTCTAATATTTCTAAAGTGTATTCCGTCATCCCATCAGGATCCAGGATAGGAAAGATCTTTCCTCAGCCTTAGTTTTGGGAGTGGGAAGAATCTCCATTACTCTAACAATTCCCAGCCTCCACTTTTGGTGTCCTTCCATCCCAGCCAACAAAAATGTACTTAAATATTTCTAGAATACTCATTACTACAGTACCAAAATGCCTAATGGAACAGCTCAATTGTTTCTGCTGTTTGTACCTTTTACAAACACAGCAGAATGAAAGTGTGTCAGTTTCACCACTACCCACAGGGTTTTCGATAATAGTAATGACACTAACCAATATCTCCCACATCGACAACAGCGAAAACCACCAAGACTGCTGGAACTTGGGGCAACAGAGGCACTGACATTGTTTGCAGAGTCCAGAAGACTTTTGGAATGTTATATTCACAGCTATAGAGGCTAAGATTCTTTTTAAATGATAGCTCAGAATATTACTTTCCCATCTATCCTTCCAGTCCATACACATATTCATGGAACACAAGGTACAGGATTCTATCTATCTCCTACATAGGGCTGCAAGGAAGAAGCAGGCAGAGTTCTCTTCATTACCCTCATTGACATGTGTAGAAAAGAGGTCAGAACGTGGTCCTTTGAATTTGAAGCCTGTCAGATAGTCTGGCAGCCTCTATCCTTTGGACAGTGCTCCTCCCAGTAATCTTTTTTTCCAGGCTTGCAGAAAAAGCTGCCCTAGATTTTGTTGCCCAAATCACCCTTTCATCCCATTATTATTGATACTGTTGCCCTCCTTCATGTTAAATGCTTAAGATCATAGCACCAAAGTGCTATTACAAAAATTTATAAAACCCAGTGAGTTATAGAAACTACTGCTATGATCACAGACTGAACACATCAGACAAGTTTATCAGGAACAAGACAACACTTATCTAAGAGCTAAAGCAAATCACTGCATTCTGAAGGCCACCAAACCCCATTTCTGGGATCTAGTGGCAAATTAGCGATCATACAGGTTATCAGTCTCAAGACTAAAGGAATCACAAGCGCATCAAGTTGAGCTGTCAAAGAGTATTACTGCTACAAGTACACCCTTAGTACCTCAGAAATCTTTAAACAAATTTATGAATGCTGAGCTCTAGCTCATCATTAGCTATTATGAAATAATTCGAATAAAAAAAATACTGTATATCCCGAACTTTCCAACAAGTTTTAACACCAGTTGCACTGGAATTAAATCTAGTTTATCAACACAAATCAAGTACTCTATGGCCTCTGCAGCTCCTTTCCTTCCACCTGTGCTAATACTGATACTTAGTTGCATACTGCATGTTGCCTTTCATCTGAGGAGCTATAAAAGCTCTTCACAGACCATTAATTAAGCCTTACAGCACACTTGTGAGGCAATTTTTTTTAACAAATGAGAAAACAGAGCCAAGAACAGATCTCATGACTCCCAGCCCTATGTTTTAACCAAGAGACCATCCTTCTGCTCCTGATAAGTACCTGGAAAGTGAGTGATCAGAGACCCAGCAAAGTCTTTATTTGAGTTCAGGCACACTCAAGAAGCACAAATGTTCAACATTACTTCTTTCCACTGTTAGTCCAAGTCAAATATTAACAACTCCTAGCCATGTATTATATGTTTAACTAGATACTAGACATTTGTATTTAGAAAAAGATATCTTCTGACCATTCTAGTCAACTGCTTCCCCAAATTTAGAGACAGAATAATTAGTTTACGCCGGAAAAATCCTGAGTATTGGGAGCCTTCAGAAAATATAGTACTAGCTTAACCTGAAGTTCTTCCTTAAGAGCCAAATATCAAGTATTGGAATGTAGTACTCTCTAGCAATTGTGAGGTTAAACAAAACAAAAACAAAAACAACAACAACAAAATCGTTGTTACAACCCACACCACAGCCTAAAGGGTGGAATAATTAATTTAGAAAAATGTTCTGAAAAACAGGCAAATTGCCACAGAAATCAAAGGTATCCATGTATTTTATAAAACATAGCATCAATCGTTTTAGCTATGCTGAATAAAGAAATCCAAGTATTCCTTTCAATAATTGCAGTAGGAAAGGAGAGCAGGAAAGTCTTTCGAATTAATGTTTGTTTCAACATTGTTTACACAAGTTACTCCCAAATTGTTATTAATATTACTTATAATAATGTCATATAACCTAAACAATAGGAGTGATTAGGGCACATTTGCAGCTTCCATGGTCAATATAAATACATACATGATGTATATGGAACTCTAAAAACCTGGCTGGGCAAGGTCAGCATTTTCAAATAATGGAAACAAGAATAACTTCACCCACACATACTTTCTAAAATATACTATGAACGTGTATATATACACACACACACATCATTTAGCATTAGATTATTGCTAAATATTTTTAAAAGAATACCTTTGTGGAGTGTGTTTATGAGCCAGCTGGTGGCCACCCTTCACCCTAAAGGTGGTTGTATTTCAATAACGATGTTGATAATTTATAGAAAGACATTTTAGCATTCTTGTACATAGCACCACAAACAAAATATGATCATCACTTCAACAGATACTATGAGTTAATCACTAATCCCCTTGGGGCCAGGGAACTATACTTCTCTTAAGCTACTTAAATGGCCTTCAAGTAGGAAGATCATATAAATAAAAGAGGTGAAAAAAACCACACTGGACTGGAACGTTAGATCACAGCACACGTCCTAGGTATGGAACAAAACTAAATCCTCCCACCCTTTACTTAACATACATTAATACCGTGGGGTTTTCTCCATCAACCCTAGTCCTGATAACCTCCAATAGTTCCAGAGGAAGAGTCTGTTTCTGTTTAAGGTCTAACCCTGAAACCGCTGTACCCTATACCTCTAAGAGGGGTACGTGGTGGGGAGAAGGAGATAGGCAGAGGAACTATTTGTTATCAGAGCGCTAGCGTTAGTTATTGTTGCAGGGGCTTTCGGATACAGGACCCTAGAAACCGCCCCCATTCAGATAGCAAAGGGATGGACACAGACGCCCCCCCACCGCGGTCCATCGTCAAGAGATGCGGATCCACCCCCCCAACCACACACACACACAACCAACCCTGTAAGAGGAACAGAGAGCCCACAACTTCCCCCCACTCTCCCACTCGGGCGGCAGAGACCCCACAGCCTCCCCACGTTTGGGGACAGAGCAATGGGCAAAGACCCTCCCCCACACAGGGGGCTGGAGAGCCTGGTTCCTGAACTGGGGCACTTAGGGATGATTCCGGTGGATGATGCTTCTTCCCAGCCCTATTATCTCCTTCTCCCGACCCCATACATCCCACCTACCCCTCCCGGCCCCCACAGCCCAGCACAGGCAAAAGCCTCCCTAAAACGGACGGGAAGAGATAGGGTCCAATTCACTCACCCTCGGCAGCTCCCAGCCAGACTCAGCTTCGACCCCCTCCCTCCCCTGCATCACTTCCGGGGGTGAAGCGTCAGCTGGCTGCGTGCGGCGGCAACACGCAGCAGAGCGTCCCGACGCTGCACGTACAGTGAGGGAAAGAGAGGGCAAGGAACCTACTCCATCCCCGGCCGCGGTGAGTGGGGAACTCTATGCTGGAGCGAACCATTGCGTGAGGAAGGGGGGAATTGTGAGGAGGAGGGCTATAGGGCGTTTGGTCCTGAAGGTAAATAATGAAGGGACTATAGAGGGGAAAGAGACCGATGCTGGGATGAAGAGAAGGCCTAAATTGGTATTTTGTGAACAGGTGTTGCCAACTTCCCCCCAGCCTCTTACATTGGTACAGTCCAGCCTGAAGGCGCCTAGGGGAGTAACCAGTGGGGTGCTGAGCGGGACCCGGGAACGGCTCCCTGCGGCCTGGGGGAGGGACTGGCGCAGAGCAGGAGAAGGGGGCTGGGGGACGGTGGGCGCTGCCTCTTTGCTAGTGTCACCGAAAGGGCCCGCTCTGGCCCTGCTGGGGCGGGTAAAGCGGTGGTGCTTAGCCAGGGGGCCGGGACCCCCTGAGGGGCCACCAGCAGGTTTCAGGGGAGCGCCAGGCGGGCCAGCGTTAGCCTCGCTGGGGCTCAGGGCAGAAAGCTGACGCCCCACCCCATGAAGCTGAAGCCCGGGTCCCTGAGCCCTGCCACCTGGGGCTGAAGCCAAAGCCTGAGCAACTTAGCTTTGTGGGGGCCCAGGCAATTGCCCTGCTGCTTACCCCAATGCCGGCCCAGGCCTTTATATGCAGAAAACCAGTTGTTGTGGCACAGCTGGGCCACAGAGTGTTTATAGCATGTTGGGGGGAGGGGGGCTCATAACATAACATAAGAAAGGCCGTACCGGGTCAGACCAAAGGTCCATCTAGCCCAGTATCCTGTCTACCAACAGTGGCCAATGCCAGGTGCCCCAGAGGGAGTGGACCTAACAGGCAATGATCAAGTGATCTCTCTCCTGCCATTCATCTCCACCCTCTGACAAACAGAGGCTAGGGACACCATTCCTTACCCATCCTGGCTAATAGCCATTAATGGACTTAACCACCATGAATTTATCCAGTTCTCTTTTAAACTCTGTTATAATCCTAGCCTTCCCAACCTCCTCAGGTAAGGAGTTCCACAAGTTGTGACTGTGCGTTGCATGAACAAGAACTTCCTTGTATTTGTTTTAAACCTGCGGCCTATTAATTTCATTTGGTGACCCCCTAGTTCTTGTATTATGGGAATAAGTAAATAACTTTTCCTTATCCACTTTCTCCACATCACTCATGATTTTATATACCTCTGTCATATCCCCCCTTAGTCTCCTCTTTTCCAAGCTGAAGAGTCCTAGCCTCTTTAATCTTTCCTCATATGGAACCCGTTCCAAACCCCTAATCATTTTAGTTGCCCTTCTCTGAACCTTTTCTAGTGCCAGTATATCTTTTTTGAGATGAGGAGACCACATCTGTACGCAGTATTTGAGATGTGGGCATACCATCAATTTATATAAAGGCAATAATATATTCTCTATCCTCTTTTTAATCTATCTAACATCCTGTTTGCTTTTTTGACCGCCTCTGCACACTGCGTGGACATCTTCAGAGAACTATCCACAATGACTCCAAGATTTTTTCCTGACTCGTAGCTAAATTAGCCCCCCATCATATTGTATGTATAGTTGGGGTTATTTTTTCCAATGTGAATTAGTTTACATTTATCCACATTAAATTTCATTTGCCATTTTGTTGCCCAATCACTTAGTTTACTCAGAAAGTAAAAGGTTGAGAGCCCCTGCTGTAAAGGCCCCCAACGCTCTCCTGCACCCAGTGGCCTCTCTAGCTCCAGGCAAGCTGGGCAGCTTCCCAGGTGGCCGCTTTGGCCCGACTTCCCCTCAGTCCTGGCAGAACTTGGGCCAGGCCAACTCCAAGCAGTGCTGTGCCCATGTGCACCAGGTCCAATGCTACTCATTCAAATGTAGGGTTGCCAACCCTCCAGGATTGTCCTGGAGTCTCCAGGAATTAAAGATTGATTTCAAATTAAAGATGTCATGTGATGAAGTCTCCAGGAATTCATCCAACCAAAGTTGGCAACCCTAATCAAATTACCTCCTGTCATAGAAAAGTAGGCCCTCACCTGCCTACGGGTCTCCGTGCAGACAGGGTAATGGGTACCCCTGGTGCCTAGAGAGACTCCCATCATAGAGAAGCATCCAAGAACCAGCTTCCTGCAAACTTAAAAATGGGGATTCCTCATCTTGTCCTGAGCCCAGGGGCTCATGGTTCGGCCCTGTGGACCTTGCTGCTTGCACTGGTGGAGGGTCCCTGTGCAGGGCCTCCTTTTCCTGTTTTCTCCAGGTTGGGGACCATAAGGCTAGCAGATTCCCGATTCCCTAGAAACAGAGGTTCTTGCAACCTCCCCGCGTGGATAAAATTACACCCACTTGAAGTCCTACTTCCACTGCGGGTCCCAAGAACTATTTCGTGGGCCAGCTCTGAAGAGTTCAGTATAAATGAAAGTGAGGTACTTTTTTTTTTTTGGAAACATTAAAACTGAATGCATATATTTAAGCTTTTAAAACACTCTCTAGTGCTGTGGTTCTCTTATTGTGGCCCATGAGCCAACAGTAGTCTGCAGAGCACATCCTGGAAACATTTTGAGAACCAAGCACTGGGGGAACAAGAGGGGAGGTAGTGCATGAAAGAAGCTCACTTATTAAATGAGCCACAGAATAAAAAAAGTCAGAATCATTACTCTATGGCAGGGGTCGGCAACCTTTCAGAAGTGGTGTGCCGAGTCTTCATTTATTCATTCTAATTTAAGGTTTTGTGTGCCAGTAATACATTTTAACGTTTTGAGAAGGTCTCTTTCTATGAGTCTATAATATATAACTATTGTTGTATGTAAAGTAAATAAGGTTTTTAAAATGTTTAAGAAGCTTCATTTACAATTAAATTAAAATGCAGATCCCCCCGGACCGGTGGCCAGGGCCTGGGCAGTGTGAGTGCTACTGAAAATCAGCTTGCGTGCCGCCTTCGGCACGCATGCCATAGGTTGCCTACCCCTGCTCTATGGCATTAATATTTATACCTATTCTTATGTTTGGGAACTGTTCCAGTGTTAGGAAATCTACTTATTTCTCTTCATGCATTCAGTTGCCTTCGGCTTAGGGCCAAGAAGCGAATAAGGTGCATCAATCTATACTTTACTTCATGTTCACATTCTCATATTTTATATGCCTCTATTATATAAGTAAGGTCATATAAGGATACTTAAGATTTTATTCCCTGGGCTAAATTTTCCACATAGCATTAAAACTCTCTTCTCTGATTGTGATAACTATTAAGAACCAAACAAACTAGGAGGGGGTGCAGAAAGTTAAAAGCCAAGAAAACAAGCCCATGCCATTTTTGAATTGGTAGCAAAGTTAAATTGATATTGCCCTTGACTGCTTATGACCACAGTATGTATTCAGTGTCAGGAGAGGTTTAAAAATATTTGAAGCAATAAAATTCCTTCCCCTATAATAGCCTGAATAAGGATTTTTCTCTTCAGTGTTTCACTTTTATTAGAAAATACAGGGTAGGATGCAGGATCCACATGTGCTACTTAGACTGGACAAACCATCAACAATTCTGAATTGTCAAACTCAAAATTATTTGTAGGATTAGTCCTGGACTAGATCTTTTCCATTTATTCACATGTAGTGCTGCATCAGTGCTATATTATAGTGTGGCTACTGCTACATGTTGTGGAGAATCAATTCTTGGTTCTTTCCATTTGGGTGAACTTATATAGAAAGCCAGTTTTAAAATCTAGGCCATTGATTTACTATTTGAGTTGCATTCTTCTTGCTTTCAGTGTTACTTATGCTTTCTGGTCAAGGGATTATTCAATACTTAGTGAAAGTTTAAAGCAACCACAGTTTGATCTCAAAGGGCTCAATACTGCATGTGGCCCCTCTTCACTTCCCCTTTTAGAATTCCCACTAAAGTCAATGGGAGTTCCAAGTGCAGAGAGTCTGAGTGACTCAGAAGTGTTGAGTAACACTTAGGTCACATCTGTTTTAAAGCTGAAACTTCTAAAACAGAATTCAAAACCAGGCAAAACTTCCCGTGTTCCAGTTTTCATTACAAACTGGTCACGTAGGCCATTTTCACAAAAAAAGTACACAAATTTATTATTGTAGATGGAAACAATGAGAAACTTTTGGGTCAAATTCATCCTTAGAGTAACCCCACTGAAGTCAACAGGGACCATTGATAAAGTCAATGGGGTTACACTAGGGGTGGATTTAGGCCTCTGGTTTTGTTTGGCTTTCACCCAGCACTAGGCAGAACTTGGTGGCTTTGAATTTTGCTATAAATTTGGAGACTGGCTGAAAACAAAAAAAATTGAAGGAGTGAGACCTTTCAAAGGTGAAAACCCATCTGAGTTGCCAGCTGAATGCATTGTTTTTACCCAGCTGATGCAGCCACGTACAGTGTAGCTATTCTACAATGTTTGTAATGCAAAAGATTAAATGGGAGAACCTAAATCAGTTTGATTTTTATGAGAAGAAAGATAGGAAGTGAATGCTGGATTTTGAGATTTTAATATTATTGGGGAATGCCATCTTCTCAGTCATCCCAAGAATCCTTGATCTCTTCTCTTCTCACAGACTCACAGGAGCTAACTGTTACAGCTGTTGTCCCTTTTGGAAATTATGAGCCCAATTCGACCCTTGTGTAAATCCAGGGGCTTTACTTCAATATGCTTACACCAGGGATTAATTTGTTTTAGTGACTTAGTTACCATGGATAGCTGTGAAATGGAGTGAATGATTGCATGTCACATCTACCAGCTGGAGAGAAATTGTGGGTTGCCACTTAGCTAAGTGTTATCACTGAGCTC